CCTTTAAACCCTCGGTTATTGATCCCTCATATACTCTGGGAGTGGTGTTGTTCAACAATTACCTAAATATGCACTCTCTCTCGAGTTATGCATACTAAATAGACACAGCTAATTGAGAGCTCTTCAATTAACTACAATAAGAACGTAGTTAAATAAATAGAGATTATACTACGGCTCAATTATATAAAAACATAACAAGAATTTATCCTACAAAAGGTTCTATCAAAACTCTAGATAACAAATTAGCTATTCATAATAGTATGTAAAACTACAATACTAAAAGTCATAACTAATAATGAAAAATAGGAAGAGGAAGGAAAAAAACTCGTGGAAGAATTCTCAAGCCTTGCTCCTATTGTGTCTCTGCCTCCTTAGGTCAAATCTATGTCAAAAATATGTCCTATTTATGTAAAAAATATGTCCTCCAATTCTTGGCCGGCTTCCTTGGTTTAATATAGGGTTTAGGGCTTAAAATCCCGTGTTTTGCACTTTGGTCCCTTAAAATCCCGTGTCCTGTCGTGGTTCCACCGCGGTCGCGCCGGAACCGCGGCCAAACACACTCTCAGATTCTTCAGTTGTCCGCGACTGCCCTCTGCCGCGGTTCTGCCGCGGTCGCGGTTTTTGACCCTATTCTGTTTGGAATTTGGAAAAACGTAAAACATGAAAGTTGTAGCCCTTTGAGTTAGCTTTCCAACCATATATTGTAGAGCTCAAATGGAGTTTTGAGTAAAAAGTTATTTCTATTTTACTAGACAGTGCNTCTCCTTAGGTCAAATCTATGTCAAAAATATGTCCCTTTTTAATTCTTGGCTGGCTTCCTTGGTTTAATATAGGGTTTAGGGCTTAAAATCCCGTGTTTTGCACTTTGGTCCCTTAAAATCCCGTGTCCTGCCGCGGTTCCACCGCGGTCGCGCCGGAACCGCGGCCAAACACACTCTCAGATTCTTCAGTTGTCCGCGACTGCCCTCTGCCGCGGTTCTGCCGCGGTCGCGGTTTTTGACCCTATTCTGTTTGGAATTTGGAAAAACGTAAAACATGAAAGTTGTAGCCCTTTGAGTTAGCTTTCCAACCATATATTGTAGAGCTCAAATGGAGTTTTGAGTAAAAAGTTATTTCTATTTTACTAGACAGTGCGCAATATGCCTCTTCGAGTTTTCGTTTTGTTGTTTTATCATCCGTTGATCCCCGAACGCGATCCCGGCTTAATTCCTTGAGCTATTACTCAGACTTCAAAGCTCCAAACCACTTAAATTCATTACATAACATCTATATAGCTCGGAATCACACCTATAAGGCATAAAACACACAATTAGTGCAAAACACTAGCGATTAAAGCGCAAACTCAACTAAAGTGCAGTAAATTGGAGTGTAATAATCGACTAAAATACGTAATTACAGCCTATCATCGACAGCCTTCCTAAAAATGTAAAAAATAGGAATAACATATGAATACCCTGTCCTCTATCGGCTTACATTACATCTCTTGTAGAGTATGTCCTTTAATTTTGCCTTTGAAGTCCTTGGATAAAGAGGTTCAAAATAGGTGTATCATTCATCCCCGAATGCAAATGTTTTTTCCACAACTCTACGAAACCTCTTGTCACATTGTCTCTCACATATTTTGGCTAGTAATCATGATGCTTAAATGCTCGCCCTGAGGTCTCTCCTAAATGAATTGTACAGGATCAAGAAGGTGTATGACTTGTTCTTTATTTCCTTTGCCTTAGATGAAATCCCTCAGCTCCCACAGAGTTATGTTGTCAATCAACACAAACACACCGGAATCTTTTTAACCTCCCAGTTGTTTCTTTGGATTCTTCAGTCAGATTATCCGGTTGCAAAGTTGAATTTTCCGCACTACACCCAGCCTGATATTTCCTTCACAATTCGACATCTCAATCACTTCCTCAGCCTTGCAAGGGTCGTTTAAGTGCTGTCATATTTTCTGTGACATCTGCTGAATGAACTTGTCCTAGCAATATTGTTAAGTATAATTCAACACTCAGCAGTACAGTTTCTATTTTCGAGGCTGGCCTTAACTCGGTTTAGACCTATGTTGCTCGGACTCTCCGAAAATGTCTCCGGGTGCGTGTCGGATCCGACATGCGTGCGACAACAATTTGGAGAGTCCGCGCAACATGGGTTAAGACTGCTCCTATTTCTAGAGTGTTATTACTAGTTAGTATTTCATTACAATTCCTCGGCCTTTTATCTGTTTGAAGTCCAAGAGATTGATCCCACTGTTTTATTATCTTATGTTGAGGTTGACTAAGCAGCTTTACTTAAACCTGTATGATGGGCTATCTGTTTCTGCTGCTGTACTAATACATTGTGACATCCAGATTGCCCAGCACATTGCCAAAAATCTTATTTTCCATGTATGAAATAAACACATTGCTTGCCAGTTCATCTGGGGTGCCTCTCATATTTTATTTCTCAATTAATCGATAATTACCATGTAAACATGAATACCTCATATGGGTCTTACACAGAACTTTCCACGGAGTCATTTTGATTTTCTTAGAACATCTAGCTATTCCTCTCCTTCTGTTTTCTTTCTGACTGACTTTCCAAGTTAGCCTCTTGACTCTTTTTTGTGGTTTTGCCTTGATTCTCTGATCAAACATACACTCACTTAAAAAATGCATCACGGTTCATATTATAGAATGCAATACCTCCATAAACTGGATGAGACAAATTTACCAGCAAAAAAGAAAGTAAAAGGAACAGAATCACACTCGAAAAGCAATACCTGAAGAAGTACAAGTATCTTTTGCAGCCAAACATTATCATTGACCAAACTCAACCCCATGAATAGCTTGTTTTACCCAGCTACCAGCCGAAGAAAAGCTTGCACAGCAACAAAAACAAAAATCTTGAACAACATTCGCCCTTGCTGTTGTGTACGAGACATCTGCACCCTCTCTACACAGGAAAAGAGACCTTCCATCTTGTACTTGCTCACTGTTCGACATAACAATGGATTTACCAACAATCTACTACTACCAAAGCACAGTAACAGAAACCTCTGCTTATCTACAAACCCAAAGCCTACAATGAAACACGCAAAAAGCAACCCGAGCGCCTGGTGCTAAAGCACATCTACAGTACTAGAATGGATAGCTCAAACAGCAAATTAAATTGATTATAACATACATCCTCAAAATCTTTAGATATGCAGAAGTATCACTATAATTAAGTTGTTCTATACAACAGCAATTTCACCTCATTTATTTGAACTGAAAACATGATCGCTATCTAACCTTCAAATTTCATACTACTGCTAAAGTAATTCTGGCATATCCTCTGTATTGGTAAAAGATAATTGGAACAACAGCCACCAATGCCAGCCCTCCACGAATGTGATACCAATTGCATTCAAGTTTAACAGATAAAATCTTACTACAGCAAAAAAATTTCAACCGATAACTAGAAATCAGAATGATGGCCACCAATACCAGATTTACAAAGTGATGCAGGTGAACTCTCTAGTTTTCGGTTGCAGAAAGTTCTAACCATTGCAGACCTCCAACTAATATTTGAAATTCTCCAAGATTCATCGCAATTCTTTTTCTTTTGTTCCGAAGATTCATCACAAATTCACTAGGGCTCATAATAATATATGGTGAATGATAAAGAAGAGCAATGACACCTCTAATGCAGAAGTGTCAGATAACTGACAACATTGAAAGGAAAAATCAATACCAGTTTGGATACTCTATAACTAGCAGATATTCGGCTCTTCATTCTGCTGCAATTAAAATTCAAGTCTGTAGATCACATCTGTATGTAGGTAATCGCTTTATCAAATTATAGACGCATCAAGTTGAAAGCACTATACATTATTTAGTTTTCTGCGTCTTACATGCATTATTAGTTGTGAATTTGGGCAAAATCAAAATTACAAGCCTACAATGCATACCTGAGGTCCAGCTGCCAATGTACAAACAACCGACTTAGAAGTTGCTTAGCTGATTAGATAGATAAGTTCACGTGGATACCGTAGCAAGCAATTTCACAGGATAATTGGTTTACTAATTTTGGGGTTACAACTGTGATGAAATTCATGTCCGACACTTTGGGAGATGGGAGATCGCATTCGCCATCCACTACAGCGCTAACTGCACAAACTTGCGACATATATTAAACCCGAATTAGGTGTTGCTTCCATTGCAATGAATTTAGAATAATTCTGCTAAGCATAATAATATTACTCGCTCTTGTTTTCTGACAAGTATGCATTATAACATATCAATTGCAAATTAAGTAGAAACGTCTTGTGTTTGGGTTGCTTCAATTGACAATACTTGGAATAATTCTAGTAGGCATGAATCAAAATATAAGCTCTTATTGCCTTAACACTATGCATTATAATCAATTGCAAGTTCAACCAGAAACGTGTTGTGTACCTGAGATGGGCTGCGAACTAAGGATATATAGTTCGTTGAGAATTTGCACTTAGGTCAGACGATCAATTTATGCATCTACGTAGAGCGTAAGGAGCAGAGAAGAATTAGAGAAGCAAGAAAACACACACACACACAGAAATGAGGGTAGAGATCCCGGGCCAAAAAGTTCCCGTGCTATCTCCACCCCAAAACCCGCAAAAACAAATCTTTATTAAGTGAGCGACCTGCCATGAGAGCGCACCCGACATGGCAAAGGCCAGAGTTGTAACAGAGAGTAATTTAAAAGGGACTTGACCCCCTGAAATTAGGCCTTTTATGTCCCCATTATACCTATTACATCTTCATTCAACATGAGAAAATTCCTACGGATGTTCTCCACGCTTCTGAATACATAACCTTGATTCACATCTTACAATATGGAAAATCCAGCAAACCACGCAAAGAATTTTAATTTGTCTGCATTCCAGCTTTTTGAGCCAAAAACTTTCCTGAACGGCAAACCCCGGAAACAATTGAGCATAACAGCGGAAACCTCCAGCAATTGCCAATCAAGTACCAACAAGATAAGCAAAAGAAATCTATGTAACCATGATTCTTACCAGAGGCAAAGAAGGCAGGAGAGACCATCTTATCAGAGCAGCCAACGCGACAGCTGAGATTGTAGAATCTCAATAGTTGGTGTTGTAGTTGAGGGAATATAAAGCCTATATATAAGATGGTAACCGACTAAGATAAGAACTTTTTGCGTGGCGGCGACAAAATCGTAGGAGGAAAACATAGCCGACTTAGATTAAGCTGTACGATGTACGACGTTTCGTTTGTGGCGGTTGATCCAATGATTAGAACAATCTGGATTTGACCACTGGTTCTGTGACATGTGGTGAACTCGCATGTCCTCTTCCGAATTGAAAGCTTAACCGCAAGCAAGTCCAAGAGCAGCCCACATATGATATAACTAAGCCCATCAGAAGCCTTTAACATTAGGCCTAAGCTCCGGGCCATTTGTATCTATATCCGTTTTTTGTATCACGTTTTAATTTGTATTCGTTTTGCAAAAAAAAAATTGCAAGCGTACCCGTTTTTTTGCATAACTTCAGCATACAAGACTGAAGTAGCAAAGACAATCACGCAAAACTTCATCATTCTAGTAGCCGGGCCTGAAGTTCAGCTCTAGAGCCGAAGTTTTTGTTTTGTAACTTGTGAAGTTTTTGTTTTGTAACTCGCGAACTTCAGCTCTAGAGTTGAAGTTTTTGTTTTTGTGTTTTTGTTTTGTAACTAGCGAACTGAAGTTTTTGTTTTGTAACTGGCAAACTTCAGCTCTAGAGTTGAAGTTTCTATTTTCTAACTGGCGAACTTCAGCTCTAGAGCTGAAGTTTTTGGTTTATAACTGAGGAACTTTAGCTCTAGAGCTGAAATTTTTGTTCTATATTTGATTAACTTCAGCATGTTTTATGCTATCTGATCCAAACTCTTCTTTCTTTTGTCCAATATGTACGCAGTATACAAGGTATCCGTAGTTTTCACTCACGTTTAAGTTTGTCAACACATTGGACTAATAAGCAATATATCTTGTATGTAATGAGAAAAGGTAGTTTCCTTAATTTTGGAAATATTGTACCTTATCATAAACCCAATGTCCATTACCATCACCTCCATCTCCTCTGTACTGTTCTGAATTATTGTAAAAGAAGACGACATAATGTATTTAATAATATTACCAGCTTGACATTTGCCACTTTAGTTTGTTTCACCGAAATTCACAAATACAGAACTGAAATTTCAAAGAACTTTTATTGTCTCTTGGTTTGGGATTTTTAATGTTATAATAATCCAAGTAGAAGTCCTCAATATATTTGCTTTAGCTTCATTAATCAAAGAGAGCAATGTTGAAGTCATCGTTGTAGAAGAAGAAAGAAGAAAACGAAGGAGGAGGAGAAAGGGGGCTGAAGTTATTTAAAAAGTGGGTACAAGTTAAAAGTTTTAAAAAAATGGGTATATGTTAAATGTGAGCGACCAAATAGGGCGCCCCGTACAATTTTTACCTAAGGGGCATTTGCATATATATCCGTTTTTTGTGTCACGTTTTAACTTGTGCCCGTTTTGCAAAAAACAAAATTGCAAGCGTACCCACTTTTTTGCATAACTTCAGCATACTGGGCTGAAGTAGCAAAGACAATCACGCAAAACTTCAACATTCTAGTAGCCGGGCTTGAAGTTCAACTCTAGAGCTGAAGTTTTTGTTTTATAACTGGCGAACTTCAGCTCTAGAGCTGAAGTTTTTGTTTTGTAACTCGCGAACTTCAGCTCTAGAGCTGAAGTTTTTGTTTTTGTGTTTTTGCTTAGTAACTGGCGAACTTCAGCTCAAGACCTGATGTTTTTGTTTTTGTAACTGACGAACTTCAGCTCTAGAGCTGAAATTTTTGTTTTGTAACTGGCGAACTTCAGCTCTAGAGCTGAAGTTTTTGTTTTGTAACTATGGAATTTCAACTCTAGAGCTGAAGTTTTTGTCTTTGTAACTGGGGAACTTCAGCTCTAGAGCTGAAGTTTTTGTTCTATATTTGATTAACTTCAGCATGTTTTATGCTATCTGATCCAAACTCTTCTTTCTTTTGTCCAATATGTTGCAGTATATAAGGTATCCATAGTTTTCACTCATGTTTAAGTTTGTCAATGCATTGGACTAATAAGCAATATGTCTTATATGTAATGAGAAAAGGTAGTTTTCATTAATTTTGGAAATATTGTACCTTATCATAAACCCAATGTCCATTACCATCACCTCCATCTCCTCTGTATTGTTCTGAATCATTGTAAAAAAAGACGACATAATGTATTTAATAATATTAACGGCTTGACATATGCCACTTTAGTTTGTTCCACCGCACAAATACAGAACTGAAATTTCAAAGAACTTTTATTGTCTCTTGGTTTGGGATTTTTAATGTTATAATAATCCAAGTGGAAGTCCTCAGTATATTTGCTTTAGCTTCATTAATCAAAGAGAGCAATGTTGAAGTCATCATTGTAGAAGAAGAAAGAAGAAAACAAAGGAGGAGGAGAAAGGGGGCTGAAGTTGTTTAAAAAGTGGGTACAAGTTAAAAGTTTTAAAAAAATGGGTACAGGTTAAACGGGGGCGACCAAATAGAGCGCCCCGTGCAATTTTTACCTAAGCTCCTAACACTTGGCCCATCTATTCAGGAGTAAAATGGATATAGCATAAGGATTTTTACCTTCCTATACAATATTTGAAATTTATTTACTAAAATTATTCTAATTTTATATATTACCTACCTAAATAAGAATTACTCACAAATTATATATATATTTCATTATTAATGCCTTAAATTAGAGGATTTAGTTACACCCTTTTACTTTTTTCTCTCCTCTCCTCTTTCCCTATTCTCTCTCTCTCACTATATATACATATATACACACACACACACACAATCCATTACTAGTGCCTTAAAATAGTGGATTTAGTTTCACTATTTTCCTTTTATATTAAAGTGGAAAAATATTGGAAAAATTCCTCTTTCCCTATGTTGTTTTTCAGCTGCGTTTTTAATGTAATTTCAATTGGTTTTCCATGGTTGTTGTAAGCTCTTTGGACTATTTTCGAGCATATTTTTGCGGCTGTTGATGGGTAGTTTTTGTAACGACCCGATCAGTCATTTTGAGCATTTGCATTCTGCTAAGCTATTTGAAGTATTGAGCAATATTGTATGATGTATTATGACTTGTGTGAATCGTCGGTTTTGGTTTTTAGGTTATTCATAATCGATTTGGAAGAATAAATTTTATTGTTGAAGCTTTAAGTTGTAAGATTGACTAAGTTTGACTTTTTAGTATTTTGATCTCGGATTAGAGATTTGATGATTTCGTTAGGTCCGGATGGTGATTTCAGACTCGGGCGTACGCCCGTATTTTCATTTGGATGTTTCTAGAAAGTTTCGGCGCAATGGTGAAATTTTGAAATTTGAAGGATTGGAAAGTTCATACATTTGACCGAGAGTTGACTTTGAGGATATCAGATTCAGATTGTGGTTCCGAAAATTGGAATAGCTTTATTATGTCATTTGGAACTTATGTGCAAAATTTTGGTTCATTCCGGGTGAATTTGATATGTTCGGTGCGAGTTTTGGAAGTTGAAAGATGACTTGTCGGGATGTTCGAACGTGGTCCCGAGGGGCTCGGGCGTGTTTCAGAATAATTTCGGGCTATTTTCCTTCATGTTCTCACTGCTGGTTCTGCTGATGTCTGGTGCACCCAGTGTTCTTCGCGATCGCGGATTGAGGGACGCGATTGTGTAAGGGAAAATTTGAAGCTGAGTAATTCCTCCTTCGCGTTCGCGAGTAGCTTTACGCGTTCGCATAATTTTCTGGAGATTGGGCATCGCGTTCGCATAATTTAGCCCGTATTCGCGTAGTGGTGAGTTGAGAAGCTGGGGGCAGAAGCGTTTTCTTCGCGTTCGCGTTGTTCTTGTCGCGATCGCGTAGTGTAGGATCCTGTGTTCATCGCGTTCGCAGATGATGCTTTGCGAACTCGTAGTGTATTTTTTAGAGGCTGTTGAGTTTGTTCTTCGCGATCGCGAAAGATGTCCCGCGATCACATAGAGTATTTTTGCCTAGTGATTATAAATACTCTATTTCGGGGGTTTCAGCCATTTTTGCATAATTGGAGCTGTAGAGCTCGAAATGAGGCGATTTTGAAGTGATTTTCACCATATGGATTGGGGTAAGTGTTCTGTACTCATTTTTAATTTTATATCATGAATCTATCTTCGTTTTTGGCATTTTATTGAGGGTTCCAAAAGAGAAATTATAGTTTTTTGGCTAAAGTTTCAAGGACCAAATTTTCGAGTTTTGAACATCGATTGGGAGTCGGAGTTGAGTGAAACTAGTATGGTTGGACTCGTAACTGAATGAGTTGTCAAATTTTATAAGTTTCATCGAGTTCTGAGGTGCAAGCCTAGGTTTGACCTTTTGGCCGATTTTGGGCTTTTGATTAAAGATTCGACCTTTGTCATTTGGAATTATTTCCTTAGGCATTGATTGATGTATTTGAGTTGCTTTTGGCTAGTTTCGAGCAATTCGGAGGTCGGTATGCGCATGATGGCATTTTGAGGCATCGTTTGGCTTTCTCGGTATTGGATTTTGCTTGTTCGAAGTAAGTAATACTTCTAAACTTGGTGCTGAGTGTATAAAACCCCAAATTACGTGTTATGTGTTTGGTGTTGAGGTGACGCACATGCTAGGTGACGGGCGTGTGGGCGTGAACCATGTGAATTGTGACTTTGTTATTTTTGTGGTACTGTGTAGTTACCTGGTCTTATCTGCAACCATGCAATCTCTGTGCACTAGAGCTTTTGAGATGTGATTCATGTTAGAAACCATGTCTAAGCTACATGATTATTTTGTTGGGAACCACCGAGGTCATTTTTGCTGTTGAGTTATTTGCTTACATTGAAATTACATACTCAGTCATACACATTCATTTACATATCATATCTCTGTCTCTGTCACCATTTATTGATACATCACATCATCATTTTTGGGCTAATTTTTATGACATTGTGATCCTGAGAGACGGGAGAGATTGATGACTAAGCGAGGCCGATGACCTGATTGTGAGGATATTGATTTATGATCAGAGTGGGCTGCACGCCGCAACAGATGTTATTGATTCATGCCATGATTGACTTATTATAACGCTTGGGCTGAAGGAGACCCTCTAGAGTCTGTACACCCCCCAGTGAGCACAAGTACCTACTGATTGCGAGTACCGAGTGATTGGGAGGATTGAGTGACTGTGAGGACTGAGTGGCTG